GGGGGGGGGGGACACAACGAAAACTTGGGGGGCTTGTTGTTTATTACTGGAGGCGCCATAGTACAGAGCAATTAAAATTTAATCTGCAAATTCAGGTGGGGGAGGGCAAATGCCCCACCATACCCTACCAAAATGACGTCTCTGCGTCAAAGGAACAATTTGAGATGAGAAAATGTCCCATCCCCATGTAAATCTTGTTTACTTATGTATTAAGTTACCCCCCCCCCCAACATTGTTTAGTTGTCGAGTGTTGGTGCATTTGCTAGAATTAAGTTCTCCCTTTAAACGCCCCCCCCCACCCCCAACCTGGAATAATTATTGTAGGGATCTAGTTTTAGAAAATTTCAATGTAGAGAATGTAACCCTCTCCTCCACCCTTCCCTTCCCACCCCCCCACCCCCAACCACCACCAAGAAGTACATACCTTTTCCCCATCTAAAATCTGCCTTCTTTGCGAAATTGCAACACATTAAAAAAAACTCTCTTATTTTAAAAACAAATAGATTCGCATCAGTATAGTTTGTTAAAAATGAACTCTTCTTTTAAAATACAAACCGAGATCAGATATGCGGCCCCCCCACACCTNNNNCCCCCCCCCCCTTTTTTTTTTCTCTCCCCCCCTCCCCCCACAAACCTTTCCCAACTCGCAACTTTAAATTCCCCAGTAGCAGTCTCAAATCCAATCTGGCATATGTTTGTGAAAACTTAGCGCTGTCATTGATTTGCTGAGCAGAGAATCAGCCAAGGGTTATTTATTAAAACCACTTAAACCCCATTTTCAGCGTGCAACGAACGCAATGAATGTCAACACTCAAAATGAATGACGTCATTCTGCTTTACACAAAGAAACTTCTTTACTTTGTTTCTGTCTGTGTTTTTCGCCCACTCCTATTTTTCTCACTCTTTTTTAGGTAGGATATATGTGTATATATATATTATGTAAATTTTTTAAAAGTTATTTAATTTTGTTGTTGTTGTTGTACTGATGAAGGCATGTGCCGAAACGTATACTTGTTTATGATGTAAAATTATTTCTAAAGCTTAACTTATATTGGTATATTGACACGAATTGTTCGTGTCTTATTAATTTATGCTATACACAAGGAACGGAAATATTGGGAAAGGAGGCGCGGACATAGAAAGGGGCGGTACACCCCGGGCGGCATTATTTGTGGGGCGGTATTTTTGGGCCATCTTTATGTACCGGGTAGCTTATTTTAGCGTGTTCTGAGTGCGTTGTGGTTTTCGTTAATAAGGGGTAAAAAAGAGGGGGGGGGGGTGGATCAAGTTCCAACCTGGGCGTCACAAACTCTAGCTGCTACTCCAGAAGCTGATGGGCAGTTAACAATTTAAAAAATGGAGAAAAAAATCTCGTGTATAGACTGTGGTGTGAGTTACCGCCACTGCCCAGCCTATATTAGGCTTACGGAGTTACCGCCACATTAAAGTTATTCCCCTGAGGAAACACTTTTTCCTAGTTTTTTTTTTATCATGCTTTAAATCTGTTTATTTTTTTTTTTGTGTTCCCCAACTGTTTATTGCTTTATGGACCCACCCACCGGTAAGACTGAATGGATAAAGTATCAAAACTTTCTCACTCTCTCTCCCTCACCTCTCAAACGACACACAGTTGAGATGTGTAGCACCACGCCCCTAGACGACGATTCTGACCCACTGGTCTGTCCCCATGGATACGAGTGTAGCATTGATGACGTGGGCAGCCCAGAGACCGGTGTGCCTAACAGGGGCCATTGTGTCAGAGTTATGATAGGGGACCCAGGGATGAAATCAGGTGAGTTGGCCCAGAGGCTGGTGCACCCAACAGGTGAGTAGGCCCAGAGACTGCTGTACCTGCCTAGTAGATGAAATCAGGTGAGTTGGCCCAGAGGCTGGTGTACCTAGTAGATGAAATCAGGTGAGTTTGCCCAGAGGCTGGTGCACCCAACAGGTGAGTAGGCCCAGAGACTGGTGTACCTAGTAGATGAAATCAGGTGAGTTGGCCCAGAGGCTGGTGTACCTAGTAGATGAAATCAGGTGAGCTGGCCCAGAGACTGGTGCACCTAACAGTGACCATTGTGTAAGAGTCATGTGAGATCAAGGGGAGTTAGGCTTAGGGGGCGGTCCGCCCCTGGCAGCACTTTTTTCTTTATAATATATTGAGAAGCACTTTCGGTCCATTGCAGAGTTTTTTCGGGCAGGTCGTATCAAAAAACTTTGGCCGCCCCTGGGGTCTCTAATCAAGATTGTCCATTAATTAAATGTTGAGGATAACTTTATGTCGAAAGCTAGATTACTGACAGATCTTTCAATCTTGACCAGTCCATTTTAGTGAGACCCAGAATGATGAGCCTCCCCTTGACGTCCATGACGACATGGAGATGGTGGACACCGCCATGCTTCACGCCTGCCACATAGGAGATGGGCAAATGTTGATATCTGGACACTCACTGGTGTTGGACCAACAAAAATGGTTTGTATATTTCGGTTCAACTGTCTTGTTTAGTACATGACTCACTGATATAAAGCTTAGAGTAGAGTGGTCCTCAATGACAGATTTGTTGTGGGCATTAAATTCACAACTTTTGCTTTGGATTGAAAAAAATTGGCGCATGCAGAGTTTACAGCAGTTAGTTATATGGGTATTTTTAGGGTGACAATAATATGTAGATATAATACACGGGGTAGGAACAATGGTTAATATAATGGATCAATCTGCTATTAATTCAATAATTATATAAAATAAATGATTCTGGTTGCAAATCTACAACCATTATAGTATAGTTTATTATAGATTTAAGACATTCCCGAATACATTATCTCTGTTTTTGTTTCGTAGCTATGCCACTAATACATTATCTCCCTTTTCTGCTTCACCAGCTTCTGCCTGGAAACAAAATTATCCTGTGTAGACATTAAAAAGTGAGTCATCATCACAGCTGACCTGCACAACAGTGTGTGGCATTAAACACTTGACGAATGTTCCAATGGAGATAAGCAGAATGAGACTGAACAGACTTTGGCTGTAACTGTAACATGTTCATAAGAAATTCAAACAGACCATTTCATTGAAGCACAAGTATTTATTTTGCTCAAAACAGATTATTAAAAGTAAATGCTGCCATGAAATGAAAGATTAAACACACATTTTTCAAACTTTCATTCCAGTTACTTAATTTCATTCTTTTGTGCATTGGTAACTATAATTTCAATACCTTCACAACACTCACAAAACATCATTTTCAAAAGCCTCCAAACCATCCAACACAGACACGCAGACCACTGACAACACAGACACGCAGACCACTGACAACACAGACACGCAGATCACTGACAACACAGACACGCAGACCACTGACAACTCAGACACGCAGACCACTGACAACACAGACACGTAGACCACTGACAACTCTTGGCTCAGACAGGAATGTTCGCTCACTGCTATAAGGATGGCTCAGCGTCCACTGTGGCTCCTTCTTCCAATTTGCTGATTTCTTTTTTCATCTTGGCAATGGAGTCCTTGGCTCTCTTCAGCTTTTCATTCATCTGGTCCATCTCAAACCTGATCTTGCTGTGAGCGTTGGAGATTTTGTTTTTGGTTCTCTCCCTTTTTTCTTCAACTGAATGCAACAAGAGGAAAAAATAAAAAGAAACATGATCTTATTGGCATCACGGGCAACCAACACCATTAATAGAATCAAATATGGAGCCAGTTATTGAACTCAGATTTTTAGTTTGATAAGTTATTTAAAAAAAAAAAAACCAACATAGAGAAATGTCTACTGGAAATAATTTTTTGAAGTTTATTTAAATGCTAATTCCAAATAAAAAATTACTCACAGTCTGTTTCATGCTTGTATGGACCAATACCCAGGGATGTGGTGTTGGCCAGCATTGAGTTCATGGCAGTTGTTGGGTCTTGGAAAATCTGATCATATAAATGTTATCATGGACTTGATTTAGCCAGTGGTAGCAGTTGCTGCGCTAGTTTTTTTGCACAAATATTTTACATGGCATTTCTGATGTGCTGGTGCTAAAGGCCACTGGACCAGAATAATGATGAATGCCCCAAAGGTCATTGGACCAGAATAATGATGAATGTCCTAAAGGCCACTGGACCAGAATAATGATGAATGTCCTAAAGGCCACTGGACCAGAATAATGATGAATGCCACCGTCAACAGAGCATGTAAATTTATCATAGGAGTGCACCCAACTCCCATTTCAAACTATTAGCGGTAGCTGTAATCTTGGGCCATAACTTCTGCCTTACATTACACTTGTTCTGCCAGATGCAGCACAGATATCTTCAAAATGTAGTTCTACATCATAGAATCATCTTTATTTGAACATTTCCACCCATTAATTAAAAGTCCATCAAACATTTATAAATAGGCTCATGACATAAAAATATGGAATATAACGATCAGTAGTAGTATAATATCTTGTTCAAATGTAGCTATTTATCTCACCACTCACCATTTCATCATAGTACTCCACTACAAGGGACTTCTTGCCAAGCATGACATCAGTCTCACTTTGAAACAGTTTCAACAAATGGTAGATGGTGACCTGAAACAAAAATTATTCGGGGGGGGGGGGAGTGTTTAATGAGAGTAAACCAGCTCAGAGAACACCTAATAACAGATGACAGGCAATAACATCTGCAGACATTTTCGTGAAGATGATGATATAAATCAATAAAGGCCAATTAAACGTAGAAGAGAGGTACAGAAAAAAAAAATTCAAAAATCACTTTGAAACAGTTTCAACAAATGGTAGATGGTGACCGGAAACAAAAATTATTCGGGGGGGGGGGGAGTGTTTAATGAGAGTAAACCAGCTCAGAGAACACCTAATAACAGATGACAGGCAATAACATCTGCAGACATTTTCGTGCAGATGATGATATAAATCAATACAGGCCAATTACACGTAGAAGAGAGGTACAGAAAAAAAAAATTCAAGAAAATATTAAGAATAAAATATTAAAAACAACAGATTTTTAAGTACACATTTTCTGGATCATTTAAGATGAAGCGTGAGATAATAGATTCTGCACATGCCGCCACACTGTTTTAAGCATCCTCTGTTTAAAGCTAAATTGATGCAGCCATCATTTCTTCTATGCCTATTAGAAATTAATTTCAATACACATATTTACCAAGAGGTAAATCAAGAAGCTACCTTATTCATATAGATTAGAGACCCCTTTAAGACTAAGATGTGCGCCTAAATTTAGTTTTCCAGCATTCTGTGAGCGAGAGATGCAAGCATTTGAATGTAATTTCCAAAAAGTACACATTTATTTTAGCACTCATCAACCCTAATGAAGTTAGGAGGGCATTTTGTTTTAATCACAAGCTTGAATCAAGAGCTCTTAATGCTGAGAGGGTTTATTGCTAGTGGTCAATATTTACCGGTCTTTCCATTGGATCATTGAAGTATATCTTGATAATGATTTCAAACTCTCCCCAGCCTGTCTCTGTTACTTCATAAGGAGGCTTGGTCACAACTGAAATATAACATTTATCATTATATTAGCCATTTACATTGAAACCGACACCTAAAAAAACTAAGTTTTTTGTATAAATTCTGTCCGTGGATTTTCGTTTGCATTTATGTAATTGTATGCAATTTATCGTTTACTAAGAAGCTTTTATGTAAATGGGTAAGCTTCTGGCACAAGACATGTTTCATATTTCCTTCATTTTCCCCTTAGAAAAATACATTTTATTTATAATGCATATCCCAATAGATCACACAGCAACAGTTACAAAATTAACCTCCACACCTTAACAAGCATCCAGTGAACCAAAGCATTAACATTTCTCCCATCCCCCTTGAAAAACCAATTTTCGGGGTTGAGGTGGGGCTGAAAATTCGATTGACTGTGTTGTCATTAGCAACAAGTCTATGTGCCAAGTTACAGCTTGATGGGATGACAGGAAGTGGGTCAATTAGTCTTTCCAAGATTTTGCCACCACAAAGAAAGAAAGAAACACACTAACAAAAGTGAAGTTAAGACAAAGGATTTAAGTAGGAGTGACTTTTAATGACCTGTTGATATTTTTTAACAAATTTGTTGAAGAGTTCAATTATCATTTATCTTACTGGCAGTACCGGTATGAATTGCCTATTATTTTTTTTTTAAATACATTTTTTAAAACATGGATTATCATCAGCTTGAACAAGAACTGCTTTGACCAGGCCTATAAAGTGTTGTCGATTGATATACATTATGTCTAAATGGTCTGAATGTATTTCACTATATTTTATCAGATTTATTGCCTTAGCACGGCTAATACGAAGTATGCTTTGCTCACCTCTATTTGGATTGGGATAGCTGTCATGAAGTTTGAAATTAACTTTCTTAACATAGGCTGACATGTCCTTCAAAAAAGAAAAAAAATGGAGAATCAAATTTAAAATTCAACTTGTTTTAAAAATACACAAAATATAATACAATTTGTTGGGCTGGTATATAAACATGGCCTGATAATTTAATTTCAGAATTGTGTTTGTGTATCAATTATAATTTTTAATGGATATAAAAATTATGGGTAATATAAAATATGATAATTTGAGTATGCAAAATAAAATATAGAAAAAATATTAATTGCTGATTTATGACAACATGTGCTGGTAACTGGTAAGAATTATACAGCATGAAAAAGATTGTGTTCCATTATTTTTCACCATTTCACAGATCATATTATTTATTTTTTTTTACTATAAACTACAGACTTATTCAGCAGTTAAAATACTTGAATGCATACAAACTTTAAAATCTGTGCAATGTTTTGGAGGTATTCCAATACTTATTACTTGCCACTCTCTGAGTAAACAGAACAATGCTGATTTATTTTGATTGAAAATCTTTAAAAACATCCAAAGAATATGAGATTCAGTGATTAACTTAACACATTATTCAAAAGAAATAAAAACAAAATATAAAGAAATATTAGTGGGATGGACGTGTCAGAATAGAGTTTATAAATAATTTCCACCATGTCTTTGGGCTTTTAAAATCATAGAAGATAATTTTCACAATACATTGCAGTTTACACACAAAACTTTGTTAACTCAAGAACTCAATTACATCATATCATCTGTGAATTACAGCAACATTTTTTAAAGAGATTACCTCATTTTTGTAGGGTTTAACATATACTGTCCACTGATGAGTATGGCCATCTTCCTCTCTCTTTTTGCCAAAATAACGTGCAATGTTACCATAAATTACAGGCTTGACTACCGTCACACCCTATTAAAAAATATTTCAGTAATTAGTTATTTGATATTCGAATATTCTATCTATTTATAATTTATGTTTTTTATGTTAATTCTGTCAATTACCTTCCATCCCATCAAAAAAAAAAGGCCAAATAAAAAAAAAAAAAAGATTATAACATAAATTTTTACTGGACAGCTAGAATATTGTCACATGAAATTGACAGGAACAATTGTTTTTTATGTTAATTCTGTCAATTACCTTCAATCCCAACAAAAAAAAAAGGCCAAATAAAAAAAAAAAAAAGATTATAACATAAATTTTTACTGGACAGCTAGAATATTGTCACATGAAATTGACAGGAACAAAAAAAACTTCAGATGGAAATTGTGTGTGCTTTTAGACACAACTGTTTTTATAATAATACTAATAATTAGTGATTAAGAACTCATGAATCTGACTAAAAATTAAAACTCTCAATAAAACTCCCAATCACCAGTCTCATTTGTCATCAGTCAGTCTGAGAGACCAAGTTTTTTTTAGTTATGAGTTTACACTAACTAGACACTCTAGTCTCTAGTAGTATGTAACACTACCGTTTGCCAACCAGAAAACAGTGAACAGATGAGCACTGACACTAATAACTGATAATAAATTAAGAATCAAGAGTTGAGTAGAGTGAAAAGTGTAAGATAAGTCAGTGGTCAGTGGTGGTTAGTGTAGTGAGTAGTGTAATGACATAATTATAATTGAACATAATTTGAATACAAAAATGGATAATTAGGCTAACCTTAAGTCTACCAGCAGCATCTTGGTTTTGCAAAGACATATTAGAAACAGTACCCTTAAGCCAAAAACTTTTTAAATTTTAATTTAAACAATAAGATCGACATTCTGCACAGAGATAGTATTTGATTTAGATTTTTGTTTTACATGGGAATAGTTTCCCTTTGATTTTGTTAGTTTTGGTATCACTAAATACCGATACGATTTAAAATCTAAAATAACTCTACACTATACCAGAGCTTTAAAAATGGATAAATTTGGCTGTTCGAATTTGTGGTGAAAAAATATTTTAGATCTATACGTTTAAATTGCATTTAGAATTTTTATTTTCAATAAAAATAATTGCAAGGAATACCATTAAATCACGGTGAAGTTAGTAGTTTTGTGGGTTTTTTTTACTGATGTTTCCATAATTTAAAAAGCCATAAAGATAATTTTTGAACTCCTACTCTAGGCAACTTGTCAAACTTGTTATTCATAGTTGTTTTTTTTAATTGAGAACTTTATCACATTGCGATAAAAAAAATGGTGTTCAAGGCCTGACAGCAGCAGCAAAAGTGTCGGGAACAGAATGTTAAACTCTTCTCCAAGGCTTTCAACACTGTCTGGAAGATCATGGCGAATAATGGATGCCCAAGTAAGTTCATTCCAATGGTGTGGCAATTCCATGAAAGTATGCAATCTAGTGATCTGGAAAATAGAGAAATGTCTTAACCATTCCCTGACAGACATCATCAGGTCAGAGACTTTCTGCATGCCCACGACAGTGCCATAAATGCTGAATTAGATGTCGATATGCAACGCAGCGTAGCAAAATTATCGGATGCCTGCACAAACCTACGGTTTTAACATTAACACAAAAATAGAATGAGGTCCTGCACCAACCAAATCCACGAAAACCTTACACCGAGTCCAACATCCAACTCAATGGCGAAAGGCTTAAAGTGTTAAACAGCTTCTCTTACCATGGTAATAAGTGGGAGACTGCAATCGGGTTAGCGAAATAGGAAATTAGTTAAAGTATGGTCAAACCTGAAAAAAAGGAACCCAAAAAAACAACGAAAGTGTCGGCAGGAAGCCTTCGTCAGTGAACAAACAACAGAAAAAAATAATTAAATTAAAAAAGATCACTTAGCTGAGAAGTAGAATCCGAGAGGGCAGCAAAAGAATTGTACTAGGCAGCATCCTGACCTAAAGCGTAGCCATCGATGATGAGGTGAACAATCAAATTGCCAGCGCAACATTTCAGTAAAATGTCTAAGAATGTATGGACAAGGAAAGGCATCATCACCCACACCAAAAAATTTTTTTTAAAAGTGCCTGTGCCCCCGACGCTACAATATAATGCAAGTGAAACATGGGAGTCTATCAATGCCACGCTAGGGAGCTAAACCATTTTCATACGACGAGCCTGAGAAAAATCCTCAATTTAAATGACAGGACAAGGTCCCAGACACCAAGATACTCGCACAACCAGGTCTCCCCAGCATATACAGCTCATTAATGCAGTCCCAACTTCGCTGGGCTGAATATGTCGCGAGAATGTCAGTCGACCGCTTGCCCAAAAGAATATTTTATGGCGAACTCAAGCATGGCAAGCATTTTTCTGGGGACAGAAGAAACGTTTAATAACATGCTGAACGCATCTTTGAGAGTTGTTTCACATTAACCCTGCCTGTCCGAAAAGTCTGTGGCGCTCCTACCTAGACAAAGACTTACTGCTACAAGAGGCAACCAGATCAGCTACTGCTGAGCAGAAAAGACAAGCCAGAAAAGCTGAGTCTACACTGTACCTGGAACTGTCCTATCAGTACCCTGTACCTTCCGCACAAGAATAATTCGTTCTAAAATCGACCTGATCAGCCATCTGCGCACCCAGAATAATTCAGCCCCAGCAGCAACCCGATGTTTGAAATGTTCATGATTGATTTTAGATGGACGAACTAACAGCGGTTTCTTGTAATTGAGAACTCTATCACATTGCTAAAATTATCATGTATAGGCGGCTACTATTATGATTACAAGTAGCAGTGAATCTTGATTGGTGGTTTTTTTGCCTAACCAATCATGGGTGTTTTAGCTCATAATCACATGGCAAACAGCCATTTGATCTGAAAAGTTTCATCTTGAGGAAGGCATCTTAGGAAGCCATATCATCCTCACTTTTTTTACTATAGGCTAGTATAGAGAAAGTCAAATATCTTAATACTACTTTTTCTTCTTAATAGTTAATGTCAATACTTTTGGTGGTTAGCTCTGAGGAAAACTGGCTAAGAGGCCCTTTGATGAAATGTTTTTGGGGTCAAATAGAGTTTTTAGTGAGAGAGGAAGGGGGATATGGACCGTTATTTTCTTTCAGCAAATTTCATCTGTTGAACGGCCATTGGGAATTCTGTTTGAAATGGCTTTGTTTACTTTTGTTTACTGTGTCTGATTGAAAGCTATTATTAACAGCCTCATGTATAATGTTTATGGAGTTGCAACACTGACCTGATAGGTCCATTTGATTTAACAAGTTTGAGGATACTCGCATAAAGTTGCGCTTAACAAGTTTATTTATGATAATTATTTCACAACTCATTACCTAGATTTAGTGAATAATTAACATATTAATAGATGGAGTTTATAGCACAATAAAAAAATGAATTATTTCTAGATATTCATAATTTTATTTTAAATATAACGGCAGATCCAATGAGTTTTTTTATAGGCCTCTAATATAAAAGTCACTGAAATGCATCACAACACAGAAATCTAATTTAATTATCTTAAAATTAAAATACATTGTCAATCATTTCTTCATAAATTGGAGTCCCAATATCATATCACAGTTATTGCTTAATCATCCTACTCTTTAATCCACATAATTACCACAATTTCTCAGTCCGTACAACCCTAAATATGTGAGATATCATTTCTCTCAAAAGATAAATGTTAAAAGCTTGAAAAAGCCTTGAAATGAAAATCAGCTGATAAGCAGCAGTTATGCTAGCCTTACTCTTACATTTTCATTTTATGAGTTGCACAATTTTATGTTTAAATTATTTTTGTAGTTATTGCTGTATTAAATTTTCAACAATTCAAAACATAAAAATCACTAACATTAATAAAAGTATTAAAAAAAATATATTGTATACAAGGTCTTCAACTCCCCCCCCCCCCAACCCCCAAGCCAAAACCCATACCCTTCCTGTGTCTTTGTTCAGCTTCATCACAATCATCTTTGTGACATCACATGTGTGCTTTTTCATTTTATGAGTTGCACAATTTTATGTTTAAATTATTTTTGTAGTTATTGCTGTATTAAATTTTCAAAAATTCAAAACATAAAAATCACTAACATTAATAAAAGTATTAAAAAAAATATATTGTATACAAGGTCTTCAACCCCCCCCCCCCCCAACCCCCAAGCCAAAACCCATACCCTTCCTGTGTCTTTGTTCAGCTTCATCACAATCATCTTTGTGACATCACATGTGTGCCCCTCATACAATAATTAATTTAAAGTGTCAAATAAATATGTAAAAATTGAATTATTTTTTTTTTTAAAACTTGAAGTACATACCTAAATTAGCACTTGACTATCATTTATAAAACTGCTCTTACAATTTATTTATAGCTTCAGTTACTTTTGACAAGTTTGGATAAACTGCCAATAAAACTTTTAATTTTCAGAGACCATAGTTGACAATAAAAAAAGACTTCTTAAAGTTCACAAAACCTTACAATTTTTAAAGGTTTTATGTTCTTTTTCTAAAATAAAATATACAATTAAGGCTCAGTTTTTCAGAAAATTACAGACAAAAAATTATTTTACAAAAAAAATTAAATGATTTAATGTAGCAGACAAAGGAATGGTGTCCTTTTGCTGCTTACACCAATCTTCATCAATTGTATATTTACAGACAAATATACTGATACATCATTATAAAAAATACTTCATTGCATTCATTAAAAATAAGTCATTTCAAGAATTAGATTTTCAAGTCTTGAAATACTTCAGTAATGGAAGAAAAATCTTCTTTTTTTTTTTTTCCTGCAGTGTTTGATGACTTTTCACTGGCTCTTCAAAATTAAAAAGTCATCCAATAAATCAAAACAAAATGTATGCTTTGTCAATGGTCTAATTCTTTTTTGTTGTTACATTTACAAAAATATAAAGCTGACTTCTATTTCTTTCCTTCCTTTTTCTTCTGAGACTTGTTTTCTCTGGCAGCTGTTAAGTCATATTTGAAGCCTTCCTTCATGGCTGCTGTTTCCCTCTTCTTAACAGTCTTCAGAACTTTGTTTTGTAGTTCACTGCGTGTAAAAGGTCTTGCTTCTTCTTCTTCATCTTCACTGGCTTCACTCTCATATTCATCTCTGAAATAAATAAGAGATAGTATGCTGCTGACAATTAAACTCTGTGTTGTTTGCCCACAAAATAGTTTATGATCACAAGTTTAATCACACCCATACCCATATATAAGAGAGTAGACATTCTTTGATGGGCATAATAGATAATGTGGGTTAATTCAATTGTCATTTTCGTTTTTATTGATAATAATGATTTTGTTGCAAATTTTTGAATATTTCTTAACTTCCATGCACATTCTTTTTTATTTTCTTATGCAAAATATAAAAACTGAACATAAACAAAACAGTACAACTCACCCCACGGCTGGAGGAATGACAGGATGGATTGGCTGTGGTGCAGCAGGTCCCTCTCCCAGTAATGTGGGAGCTTTAGGGTCATACTTATCCTGGTCCTTGAGAGAAGGCATAAAACATAAATTTATTTTCATGTCACTAAGAAAAAGTGACCATATATAATTTTTAACAGTATTCTGGGGATATCTATAAGCATCTCTTTCACCCCTACCCCCTTCTTTATCTTTTCACCCATGCATTTTTTTTTTCCACTACGATTATGCATATAATGGAAATAAATGTACTATTTTCAAAATCTTTTTCATATTTTGATAGTTAAAAGAATTCAACACCCACTTCCAAAGGACATGGAGGTTTTGTTCCCCTATTTGGAAACAATTGGTATAAACACTAAAATACTTGTGAAAATAATTATTTAAATGTTGTTCCTCTCCTGCAAGTGCTTCACATGCCAAAAAAAAAATAGTTTAAGTCTTAACATCAATGTAAAGCTTTGTTTTACAATGCAGCATAACTTTTTGTTTACCTTTGAATTAAAATAAACTCAAATGGCCAGTAGTTCAATGACTTTTTTTTGGACTCTAAATTAGAATAGAATGAAGGGCAAGAAGTTCAATAACTTTTTTGTTTACCTTTGAGTTAGAATAGACTTGAATGGCCAGTAGTTCATTGGTCCTTTGTTCAATGATGCCAAGGTACTGAATCATGTTACTCTCAGTTACTCCTGTGTCAGCTCCCAACATGCTGTTGATAGCTGACCTGTCACAATTTATTTTGTTAAACAAGGAATCTACACCTGTGGATTAAATATGCATGCATATGATATTTACAAACTCAATTTAAGAGGGAACTGAAATGATCAGAAGTTCATTCCAAACTTTAATGATTTTAATTTTGCAGTTAGAATAAGGTGCCAACATTTAGTGTTTGTTTTTACAGGCAGTTTATATTTGTCGTACAAGTTATTTCAAAGCCCACAAAAAAATAAATAGCCATTATTTGAAGATTATAAGACATAATACTTAACAGAAAGCTACATCAAGGTCCATATCTAAATAAGAAAACAATAACGAGTGGAAATATATTCCCAATAAAGTGAAAAAATACTGAACTTAGAAATTAAATTATTATTTTTTTGTAACTGTCTGTGGTTTGGTACCAGCTCTTTAAAATATCACCCCACCCCATTTTGTGAATTCAACACTAGGCACAGAGAAGCATAGGAGTGAAAAGTAAGCCAAAAGCTAAAAAAATTTGATGAATAATAAATGTTAATTAATGTAGATTAAGTACCCGCTTTGAGCTGATCTAGTATTTTAGCCACTTCCTTATGTTTCTGCTCGTATTCATCTGCTTCACGTGTGGCTTTGATCTGCTGGTTTTCCAAATTTTTGAGGATCTGCTTTCTCTGACTCTCCAACTGAATACCCTGTTCTTTGAATTTCTGAATCTCCAGTTGAATCTGTTTGGGAAGATTTTTTTAAATTAAATGTGAAACTAGCTATTTCAAAGCTGACGTATTAGAATCAGCAAATGAATTGTCCAAGGATACTACTTCTAAGCTAAGTGCTATTTTTTATTTTTATACTCTTTTTTCTTTTGTTTTGTTCGCTGACGAAGGCTTCCTACCGACTCATTCGTTGTTTTGTTGCGTTCCTTTTTTCAGGTTTAAACCTAATTTGTTTTACTCATTTTATATTGTGCTAACCTGATTGCAGTCTCTCCCTTATTACCCTATTGCTACACCATAAACGTATCATACTGTTACTATACCATAAAATTATCATACTATTGCTGTACCATAAAATTATCATACTATTACTATACAATAACCTTATCATACTATTACAATACAATAAACTTATCATACTATGATTAACAAACAATTTCATTAACTAATCTTTAAAATAGCATGCTACTTACTGTGCTAATATCCTCATTGAGTTTCTCTATCTCATTGTTCTGTTCATTGACGTAGTTGAAGAGAGCAAAGTTTGTGTCCTCCACTTCTATGAACCTGTTGACCAGAATATTGATATCATCTTCTCCTGTCATGATTTTAATCCTGGTGAAAGCTTCTTCATATGTCTCCACCGAGTCTTCTTGGCTTTCCTTCTTTTTCTCAGTCTCAATAGCTTTTTGGGGATATAAGTTACATCAGGATATTATGTGCAACAGCTTTTTGGGGGATATTCATTACATCAGGATATTATGTGCAACAGCTTTTTGGGGGATATTCATTACATCAGGATATTATGTGTAACAGCTTTTTGGGGGAAATACGTTACATCAAGATATTATGTGTAACAGCTTTTTGGGATATGCATTACATCAGGATATTATGTGCAACAGCTTTTTTGGGGATATAAGTTACATTAGGATATTAATAATAATTATGTGCAAAAGTTTTTGTGTGAATAAGTTACATAAGAAAATTATGTGCAAAAGCTTTTGATGAAGAGATGAATATATGACATTAAGATTATCTTGACAATATCGTTTGGTATTGAAATCAAAGGAAAATGTCCACAAAAAACTTTTAAAGCAACCTAATACAGTTCGACATACAGGAGATTTAAAGACTGCCAAAAATGCATACAACCACCTTCCCTGATCACTATCCAAAAATTAATAAAAGCCACCCTTCCCCTGATCAATATCCAAAAATTAATAAAAGCCACCCTTCCTCTGATCACTATCCAAAAATTAATAAAAGCCACCCTTCCCCTGATCACTATACAAAAAATCATTCAAGCCACCCTTCAATGACCACTACCCAAAATTCATACAACCGCCCTTCCCCATCAACCACCCAAGTAAATATTTAATTAGCTTGATAGTTTTATCCATTTGTTTTGACATCAGAAATCATGACCGAAATATTAAGGGAAAAAAAATATTAATATTGACTATTATTTCTAAGCAGTCTCACCCATATACTCTGCTGTAAATGATCTAAATGATGGGAGTTCACAAAAGTTGTAGAATTTCAACAAAGAAAAAAAAAAAAAAAGCAACAACAAAATTTGATTGCATCAGACAACTTCTATAAATTTACCTTTGCGTTGCCTCCAAGCCATAATATTAAGTGAAAAAAAATATTAATATTGACTATTATTTTTAAGCAGACTCACCCAAATACTCTGCTGTAAATGATCTAAATGATGGGAGTTTACAAAAGTTGTAGAATTTCAAAAAAGAAAAAAAAAAAAAAAGCAACAACAAAATTTGATTGCATCAGACAACTTCTATAAATTTACCTTTGCGTTGCCTCCAAGCCACAAGCTGTGGGTCCTCCTGCCTCTCCTGACCTTTGATGCCCATAAACTCTTTGAGCTTGCGGTCATGGTCAATGATGCGTACCAACTCTTTCATTTCTGTGTTGTGCTGTTGGACGTCTTTGTCAGCCTTTTCTTTCAGGATGATCATCTTTGCCTGGGCATCATCTCTGTTCAGATAGATATAGATTATATTTGTTCTTACAATACTAGAAATAACCCACCAAACAATCATAGCGGCAATGTATGAACTTCCCATCTACTTAAGTAGCTTGAGAAAACATGCATTCAGGTAGCACACTTTATAAAAATCCCACTTGGAATTTTATTTTTTTCACCAATTGAACACAGCATTACAGCCATACATACACTGAAAATTATTATTTGATATCTTCTAAAAAACATAAATTGCATGAAGAAAGCTGCAAAATAAGTTTATATGAATCCTGCAGTAATTATAAGAAAACACTGGCTTGCATATTATTATATTTCCTGTGCTATTAGTTTCTTGTTAATTTTAATGTTGGCAATCAACTATATAAATACACATCTATTCAAGTTATTAAAGAGAATTTCACTAAATGGAAACTCATAATAATAATGCAACAACCATCTTCAATGATTCACAAAGTAATTAAAAAAAAAAAAAAAAATTCTAAAAAAAAATATTTTTCCATTTTTTTTCAAAATAATTTTTAAATTGATTTAAGTATCATCTCATTTTGTAATTAGAATCCCCTAAGTGTGTACACTATGGTAATAAGGGGGAGAGTCTGCAATAAGGATAGGTAAAAGGAAAAAGTAAAACAAATCAATGATTCACAAAGTAATTAAAAAAAAAAAAAAATTCTAAAAAAAAATATTTTTCCATTTTTTTTCAAAATAATTTTTAAATTGATTTAAGTATCATCTCATTTTGTAATTAGTATCCCCTAAGTGTGTACACTATGGTAATGAGGGGGAGAGTCTGCAATCAGGTTAGGTTAAAGGAAAAAGTAAAACAAAGTGTTGGAAAACTTGAACAAAGGGAAGCAACAAAAGAACTAACGTGTTGGCAAGAAGCCTCTCTCAGCAAACAGAAACAATAGTAAAAAAAAAAATATATAAATAAACACTTAGCTGCAATGTAGTATCCATGAGGACAGCAAGAGGTTTTCTCATACTTTGTTTCGCTTATTTTGAGTGTGCTCTACCTCTCTAAGTTTACCCTAAATATCTCTAGGAAAAAAAAAAATCCTCTCCCATGACATACCCTACTTCTCCATTACCATACCCTACCCTTCATTATCATACCTTATCCCTCCCAGGGTATACCCTACCTGTCCGTTACTATACTCTACCTCTGGTCATAAGCTGCTGTGGAGGACTCAATCACCTCAGCCATCTCTTTTCTCAGATTCTTCAACTCCTTCTCTAGCTTCTTGTAGAGGTTCTCAAACCGGCGGTGCTCATTCCTGTGACTTTCAATTTCATCCCTGAGTTTGGCATTTTGGCTCAGGCAGTCATTGAATCTCTTTTTAGCCTGTCAATATTTCAAATGTTGAAAAGAGTTTTAGAACATCAAACTTGCATGACAATGAAATTGAAAGACAGGTCACATGTTTCGTCACATTTTTTTATTATAGTGATTTGTATGACATGGTCAAGTATTTGGTCACCAGGGCAGTGTGATAATTTTGCTTGTTTACCTGGTCAAGCCTGTTCTCTAAGACCAGCTGTGTTTTGTTCATCTGTGTGTTGTGCTGGGAGCTCATATTGGAGCCGCCCATGTTCTTCTGCTGCTCTTTGACCTTCTTCTCCCATTTTTTTATCTCAGCATCCAGCTCTCTCTGCTTTTCATCCTCAGCTTTCATCTCTTCATCATTCTTGTCTGAAATTTTAAGTAGGTCATTGTGGTGACTGGTGGAGATTCTGTTATTGTTAAGTGTGTACATTATCACGTAACTTTCTATTTTAACACACATAATAGTGATTATGGAATAAATTGAACCATTTTTCTGATTGTGAAAATGAAATGTATAGAGGAGTTAAAATGCTAAAAAAAATAGATAGCATAGGAAACACCCTACCAATAGAATATGGCAGCATGAAATAAATGTGAAATTGGGTAAAAACATTACAATTATATGTTATAACAATTTTTAAAAATCATAATCATCATCATGCTGATATTGATGTGGACCAAGAGGGTTTTGAATGATAAAGAGCTTATGAAAAAAGGGAAAAGGAAAATAAAGAGTCTGAGGAAATGGGATGGCATGGAGAGACTGGAAAAACCAAATCATATTTTGTCTCCAGTAGAGTAAGCAATGTGCCAGAGAATCAAACCTTTTGCTGCCAGCAGAGTAGCCAATGTGTCACTGTGTTTACAAATAATCTCACCTTTTGCCCAAGCATATTGATCAATGTTTCAGAGAATGTCACTTTTTGCCTCAGCACATTGATCAATGTTTCAGAGAATCTCATATTTTGCCTCAGCATATTGATCAATGTTTCCAAGAATCTCGGATTTTGTTTCCAGCAGAGTAGCCTATAAGTCACAGAATCTCATCTTTTGTCTCCAGTAGAGTAACCAATGTATAAGAGAATCTCATCTTTAGCTTCCAATAGAGTAACCAATGTGTAAGAGAATCTCACCTTTAGCCTCCAATAGAGTAAACAATGTGTAAGAGAATCTCACCTTTAGCCTCCAATAGAGTAACCAATGTGTAAGAGAATCTCACCTTTAGCTTCCAATAGAGTAACCAATGTGTCAGTGTGTTGCTCATCTTTAATTTGATTAGTTCTGGATTCAGCTAATCGTAATTCTTTCAGAAGTTCTTGCTTCTCTGATTCTAATTGTTTCATCTCTTGCCTGTGGATTATTTGTTTTTATTTTAATTTTTACAATTATTTATTATTATTTAATTTTAATGATCCATTTGTAAATGGCTTTTAGGTGCACATTGGTTAATTTCTGATACTAAGCAAATTTCTTTTTACATCTATTTATTACTATCAGTAATTGAAACATTACTTGAGATGGTTGAAAAAATTAAAAATATTTTTGTTTCTTTTAAAGTGAGCAAGTTAAATATTTTTACAAAATAACACTCACTTCTGCTTTCGAATAGAGTTTTGAGATTCCTGTGTGTAAGCAGCACGATCACCTTCCATGTTTTGAAAACTTCTTTGCAGTTTTGCCAACTCCTGCTCTTGCAGGCCTTCCATATCAGTATCACTCATATCAGAGCGAGCAGACCGTGGATGAGGCATTCTTCAAATTATTTGATTTTTTTTCCTATTTAAAGACCTATAGTATTTCAACTGCTATAGTGATACTGGAAAGAGAAAATAAAAATTTTAATGAAAAGATTAAAAAATAATTATTTTAAAAACCTATCTGTTATTTATATCTGTTTTTTATGAGATCATTGTCACAAGCCACATCTTGTATTGAAGCTAAACAGGTTGCTCTACAAAAGATATAGCTAGGCCTATTATGCATATTTATTAGGCCTTAGGCCCATCTCAAAAACTTAAACAGTTGGATATATAACTTAAAGCTGGAAACAAATCTAGAGTACTAATGAAAAATATATAATAACTATAACAAATATTTTACATTAGTCATTAGTTGAACTTGGGTGAGATATTAGAAAACAATATTATATTAATAATTATGAATATAGCCTATTTATATAATAATTATAATATACTTATTTTTTTGCTTTCACTTTTAGGTTACCCCTTTGTCTTTACTTGAAGTTTAAGAAATAAATCCATACAATTCTTTGTTAATATTTGTTTGATTACAAATATCTTAAAAACTTAATTCGAGTCTTATTTAACTTATTTTGTAATTGTTATAATTTATAGTTTAATTCAGTAGCATATTCATGTCACATGGTGATTAATTCAATGTGTGAGTAGCAGTGCCTAAATTCTAAAAGTCGTTAGTATTTAATCTTTATAAATCTAAATAGTAAAGGTCCTGTACCGTTTATCATAATAGTTTATGGTCATAAATTTCATAAAAAGCTAATTAAAATGTTAAGTTTACTGTGAACTTACTAATACTTAAAATTAAATTACTTCTTAGGCCTAGTAATTAGTAACTAGCTAAAACATAGTAAAATAAAATGAACAATGAATCAGTAAAGTGTAAGTAAGTTTAAGTAAGAGAGTTTCACTAATCATTACGAGTGAAAGACGAGAATAATAACCCCCTTCCACGTATTATTCTTTTTTTAGGCCTACTGTTTGCACAGATAGCAATGTGTGCTAATTTTAGACAAACTTATTTAACGCAGATAAGCTTATTTCATTTTTTTTCAAGAAAAAAAAAAGGAAATACATACTGAGTTATACTTAACGTTTCCCAAGCACCAATACTTTGCTCTGTAGTCTAGACAACAGGGACAGATTACTGTTATAAAAGCAATACCGCCTTAAAACTCCAAAAGAAAAGATTGGTAGAGGCTAAAAGGGAGATAAATACATATTTTTTTTATAGACCGGAAAACGAAACAGGTTCTTTGAGCAGATTAATTTGAAAAATAATTCCATTTCGAAGTTTTATATTTTTCTCTAAATGGGCATTGTGTGCAATGTAGCATAACTATAACTATGTTGCAATGCAGTAATAAATAGCACATGAACAGAATAAAAATAGCCTTATTAGCTCAACTTTAAAGTTTATATACTCTTCTCTTACTTTTATGACGTAAGCTTAACGAAAAAATTGCGTTTGCCGTTAAAATTACATCATGTTTATTGTGACACTTTTTTTGTGTCATTATCATTAATATAAATATAAATACAATGGTAAAACAGTTGAAATAAAAACACAGCTAAAAGTTGACAAGGAAATACAGATAAGCAGTAGGCCTACACAAAGACTGTTTCACATACAAATTACAAAGTCTCAGACATTAATAATACTGTTCTAGTTTTATGAACTTAATGATAATCAATTTAAACGGTCGACAAGTGACAGCTAAGTCCTTTTAAATTATTATTTTTTAACGTAGAAAATAAGCAAATATTCAAAACAATCAAATGAAAAAAGTTTTTAAAAAATAAATAAATAAAATTAAAACAAAGGCCTACGTCTACGTACATTAAAAAAATTAATGAAAACTCGTCTCACTGCTGCAAGAAAGAATAGTAATAAGGTAGTGCCTAGTTAGGTAATAAACACAAACGCGTATGACGTTGAAAAAAGCCTCGGAGAAGAAAGCATTCCAAATGGGTGTAAATCAGTGGGATGTTAGACGTCAGAAATGTTATTTGCGATGTGACGTAATTGTGTAAATACATCACGCATCAATGTGACGCTAACACATTATTTTCTTGTTTATTGTTGTGTAGAGTTTGAAGAAGAAAGCGCTTTGATAGTTGTATGATACTCCTTTAAAAAAAAAAAAAACTTGGCTAATTTCGCCTAATACGGATTTGAAAGAAAGTCGATTAACAACATGGATGAATTCATTTCTACTTTGAAGGTGAGTCTTTCAATGCACACCAAAATCAATGAAGTAGTTATTCTAGATTTGTATTAGTATTGGCCTATTTGTATTGACTCTGGCTGGTGACTCAGTAGTCAGTAGTGGTAGTCAGACTATAATTTAAAAGCCAACTCTTCATGGAGCAAACAAAAATTAAAATTATAAATACGTGTATTTTTTAACGATGCATGCCCAGCCCTCTTGAAATCGTACATTACAGTTAAAAAAGAAGAAATTTGAGGACCAATTAACTGATATCAGTTTAAAAATTAGATCTTGCTTTAAATTTTTAAATTACGTAGATAGTTAAGCTATATATTTATAGTTTTTTTTTAAGGCTACAATCGTGATAATGATTTTGGCAGAGATGTTGTTCAAGTGTTCATTGTTTTCATAAGTGAAACCGTTTTTTGACAATTGGAATAACTAAGTCTAAAATAAATAATTTAATGGTAATGGTTCAAGAATAGATTTAACCTGTGACAAGCCTGTGCCTGATATAATACATTCTATAAATACCGTTTGCCTTTTTTGATATTATTATTGATAATTATTACACCAAACTAAAAAAAATATTAAACTAGCACCAATTTACTAAAAAATATGTTTTTTGCTAATAACACATTTAAAAAATGTACCTATATATTCGAATGGTGAAAACCTATCCAATCTTTCTTTTCTACTTTATCCCATGAATATTTTATCAGGTGAGGTTAAATTATTACAACAAATTTGTGTTCCTTATTTCGCACGCCGTGCACACCGTCTGTACCGGTATAGAAATTATACATCGGGGTTTTCTTTTGTTTTGTTCAATAGAAAGATGAAAGCACCGTCAATGCCAATGTCAAAATCATCGATGGCTTTAAGATTGAGATTGATTCGGCAGGAACCGCTTCTGAGGACAATGCATGTTCAAGTCCTTTTGGTTGTTGTTATGACAGAACCAGTCGATCGCCCAACCCGAGGTTCAATACCTCGCATCGCACACCACTCGGTGGAACAAGCGATACCGCCTGCTTGTACGGTTACGGCCGTCAAAAAGTTCGTCAAAGTCCGTTCGACGGTGACGATAAAGTGTTACGCCGGTCACTGACCGGGTGTGACGGTGCGTCTCGGTGGACAAACGACAGAAACCCGCATGCGTTTGACCGAGCTGACCTCTGTAAAAACACCGACCAATCAAAACCAAACAGTGATAAGAGTCCCGAGAATGCGTTTGAAACAGCAGCGAAAACGGTCATGATATTAGACATGGGTCAGAAGTCGCCATGCATCCAGTACAGGTCTGAAATCATGAAGTCTGGTGCTTTTAATCCGCAAGGTGTAGCGGATCCAGAATTAGAAAAAAGTCGTCGCGCTTCTGTCAACAGAGCAAACCCGCCCTGTAACCCTACCACTGCGTGCGTGGGTACAGGAAGGGATTCAAACCGCGATGAGAACCTTATTTTAAAAGAAGTCAAAAGTGAATTTGTGAATTCTATAAGAGAGAATTTCACCTGCAACAGCTACCAGACCGTGCCGTTAGATCTCTCCTTACCGAAAAGCAAACCAACTAGTAAAAAAAGTCGCATTCTCTCTGGCAGTCACGAAAGTAACTTAAGACACGAGACATCTGACGTGAAGTCAACCAAGGAGTCTGCCTTAGATCTACGGCTTAAGACTCCATCATCAGTGTCCAAGGACGAGAAATGCAGCGATAAAACCCAATCACCACCATTTGGTGCATTGCCAGTCCAAGATTTGAACCCAACCTATTCCTATTTGTCAGGCAATGAATTCGGTGTGAAGACCAGGTCCGGAGAACAGTCGTCCGGAAGAAATGTGATTTATAAACCCATTCCCAAGTATCCAGAATGTCACACCGGGTATGCAAATCGCCTTCTGCAGCCCTTTCATGCGCCATCTGTGATGGCCGACAGCGCGGACATGTTAAACAATGAACACATTTTCGGCAGCGGTAAATACGCGCACGGCACCAAAAGACACAATGAAATGCCGTGGATGCACTACGGCAACTACGGCGACTACGACATGGTGTGGAACTACTCCACCACAGTTACACCAGCCCTGATGCAACACCCTAGACCTGGGGCTTACTTGCCTTCTCACCTGGCACACACGACTGCCTCCCTTCCAGCGGTTCCAGGCCTATACAGTCAGAAATCCCCGTGGTGTACTGACTATGACTACTTACCATCGCCACACCGACGAACATCTGCTTTCTTCAATTCAGAAAGCACTCCTCAAAAACACGCGTCGATGAATTTAACCAACAGCTGCAGCAAAGAGCGAGCTGATCAACAATACAAACATAGCTCCGGTAATATTTATAAAGGCAATTATCCCATCGGTGTGTCACATAATACGAGTGCAGGATATGGCCCGTGGAGTTATTTGTGTCCGGATGAACCGACCATCAGGTCTCATGACGACGACATTTATGCCACCAAACTCTCTCAGGGCGCTGGGTTCACTGCAGCTCCCGTGACTTTTGGTCAAACGGAACGTACCCAGACTATGCCACCTGGTAGATTGTTTCAAAGGATGCCGGGGTCATCTCATGGGGCAACTCCCATAACACATCTGGGATTTTCTCACGGGGCCACTTCGAGAACCAATCTAGAATTGCCTTATGGGGTCATTCCTGGGAGTAATCTGGGCTTCCCTCGTGGAGCCGCCGCTTATGGCCATAGCAACGAATTGGATGCACGAGTCAAAGGGTATAAATACAACCCTGATGTCCATCATAGCAGGATGTGTAAAGACAGATCAGTACAGAAACACAGTTTAGGTAACCCCATCATGCAACAGCCAGTACGTGATAAGAACGAATCAAATGTCAATGAACGCTCCTCCACCACAGAGACATCAACAACAGACTATTCACACCCCAATTCCTGTTCTCTTTCCGGTCGTGTGAAGGAAAGGGGCGAGGTCATTTCTGACAACAAATGCGCAAGTGAAAAAAGTGCCACAGCATCGAATCAACAAGTGAAACCAAGACGTCAAAACAAAGTCAAAACTCCGTCCAAGAAATGCCCCTACTCAGACGATGAAGGCGATAGCTCGGTAGATAAGAAAGACGGTTCTCAACCAACTCAGAGCGTGACGGATCCCGCTAGAAAGAGGCGTACCACGACTAGGAGGCCTAAAGGTAATCAGGATGGTGTTGGTGGGCGGGACAAGGACGCCGCGTTGAATAAAACCCTGAGGTTACACAAACACAACATAGTATCGAGCATGTCAGCAGACGCCGCAGTTGCCGGCCCTGGAAGGAAAGAGGACACGTGCCTGTTGGCCAGCTTGCTTACTAACGCAAACAATCCTCAAAATAATTATCAGATGGACCAGTCCACGTCAAAGAGATTCAAATCTGCGGTAGACTGCATAGATAAAACGCACAATTCAACATTGTGCGCCCCCGAAGAACAAGAAAAGGTGCATCTTACGCCATGCACTGATGCAATAAAGTGTGAGCTGTCGGAGATTCCCGAAGCTGCCCATTGTAGTTCGGGACGATCCCCTCAAGAGTTGCTGGAAGAGGGCATCATAAAGAAACTGACAGAGATAATCAACGACAGGACCGCGGAGCCCGATCATCAGGAATGCCCTAGAGTGGGTGGTCCTAGAACGAAAAGCTTAGCGGAAACCGACGGTGAGAAAAGTGACGTTACCCGCCATCGCGTTGCGAAAACAGAGCCAGATGATGAGACCATCACTGTAGGGCTGAACTATGATCAGATTGAAAATAAAATGGATCTGGTTGTGCACGATAATACGGTTTCTTCTGCTGGGTGTGGTGGTGGTGAAACTGCAGATACGGTCAAATCAACTCGCGATGAACGTGTTAATGTAAATAAAGAAGCGAAAATGGAAGGAAACTCTTTTGTAAAAGA